GGGGGGGGGGGCGGAGAATGAGAATAACATACGAGGAGCTTCAGGGCAAGATGGAACTTGGAAAATTTGAAGTGAAACAGTTCAGGTTGGCTGGAGAATAGAGTTTTAGGGAAAAGTGAGGATGGAGAGGGGTGAGCCCAGGCCTGGAAGAGTCTTGAAAGTCAGTTAAAGAGTTTGTATTTTACCCCACAGCAAAGGAAAGTCATCCAAGCTGGTGTCAAAAGCTCAGATGCCGTCGGGGCAGGGCAAGTGACCTTCATGAATGCAGTGCAAGAGGAGACGGTGGGGCCTGAAAAGACTTCAAGAGTGGACACTCACCTGAAGGCATTCAAATTCAGATTTTAAAACTATGATTCTGGGAAAGGGTTTTGGCAGTGGAGGGCCAAGATCTCATCGGTATTTTAGAAAAAGAAATTAGGAGGCATGGACTGGAGCTGGACTAGAGGCAGGAAGATGAGAAGGTAATCTGGGTGGCAAGCCTAGATCTGGGCTAGGATCAAGTGTGGACGGGGAGAAGTGGTGGATTCTAGAAATGTTCAGGAAGAATCCACAGGCCTTTGGGGATAAATTTTCTGGGAGGGTAAAGGACAAGTTATAGTTTCCTTATTATAACTGTTACTGTTGTTACTGCAAAGAGGATTCTGTGGGATACAGGGAAGGAGATGCCAAGAGGTCAGGGGTGAGAGGCGTCAAATGGGAGGAAGCACAGAGAAGCAGAGGAATGAGGGATCCAAAGGACGGTGACTCAGAAGACCTTGGCTTGGCCCCGGATGCTGAGAGTCATGGAGGCTATTAGAAGCCTGAAAGTTAAAATCGGAGTTCCAGTAAGAGATGCCAGATTAAACACATTTGATTCCACACCCTTTCAAAACTCCACTGAAATGACAGAAGAAGGACTTTTCAAGAACATTTAAGGATGAAGAACAGGAGAGAGGCTGAGTGCTAAGTGGGTTAGCAGAACCAGGAAACCTCGATACCTCAGCCGTGAGAGGGAAAGCCGAGGGGCAGCCTGACTGTCACCACCGCGCTCCCAGAGGCCCAGGGATGGAGCCCAGGGCCCTCCAGAAGCTGCCGTGAGAAGGGGCGACAAACAGCAGACGGTTTGGAAGTCTGCTTAGTGCGCAGTTAGATGCCTGGACCCCTCCCCAGCTACCAGCCGCGGGACAAACCCTTGTCCCACCCAATTCCCTCTTTCCAGCAGAAAGCTGGAGGTTAGTTTCTGGAGCAGGTAAAACAGACAAGACCTAAAGATACTGCCTTTGGATGGTCCTCCATGGAATAGCCCAGACGGATCAGTGAAGTGTCCAAATGCTAAGACAACCCCCTTCTCTACTCACCCAACCACACAGACAACCAAGAATCTCTAGGTATCTGAGGAAAGCCTCTTATATGAAGGAAAGACCAACACCAACAGAAAGAAACTGCTTCAAGAAGACAGACTAGGTAGAAACTTACTTCCTGCCTGCCTTCTCCCCTCCCTTCCAGTGACCCAAAGCCGTTAGGTGGGCATACCCACGTGGGAGTCAGTGCCCGCATCAGAGCAGGGCAAGCGGGGCTTCTGTGGGGCGGGGCGGGGGGTGTGACCCTGACATCGGGCATGGGGTTTTGGAGCCTGAGCAGGGTGAGGAGGAACCCACAGAGGTATTGGGCTGAAATGGGATAACGAGGGCCTGTGCAGAGGGGCTGGGGTGGTGGCAGCAGGACTAACTTGGCAGGGTATCAGAGCCCAGGGTATCGGAGCCCAAGAAGCCATTGAGCATGGAGGGGTGGGTGGTGATAACCCCAAGCGCGGTATCAGAGCCTGAGCAGGCAGGGAGGGTGTCTGTCCAGGCGAAGGCGGAGTCCACACAGCCTGGGACGCTGGAGTCCGAGCAGAGTGAGGAGTCATCCCCGCAGCTGACGCAGTATGTTGGAGCCCACGTGGAGAGAACACGGCATCTGCGTGGGGCAGGGGCTGTATGTGACCGCGTCCCCAAACAGGTTATGGGTACCTAAACAGAATGAGCAAAGCGACTGAGGCGGAGGGGGAACAAGTGTCTGCAAGTGGGGTTTTGATGTTGAGGTGAGGCAGGCATGAGTGTGGGGCCAAACGGGGGCAGGGAAAGCAGGAGATTGGTTATACACAGGAGGACAGATCCAATAAATACATATATTGAGGATAATGGAAGCCAGGATTCTCACTGAACAAGAAGGAATCTGTAAACATAGAAAGAAGATAAACTGTGGGGTTGGGTAGACAGAGAAATAAATAAGATGTGAATGTGTGCGTGCATACATTTGTATGGACAATGTGTACACACACTCATTCCCTAGCTTTATCCATGGAAAGAGCTCAGAAACAGAAATGCTCTAATATCAATTAGCACCCCTAGTGCCCAAAACTTGGCTCTAAATACCATTTTCCCCTAAAAGAAGCCAGGGATCCTTGGACTTGATTGATTCCAAGGCTGAGAGAGGGAAAGAGCAAGGTAAACTAGGCCATTTCCTGTGTCAGATAGTAAAGAAGCTCTTGAAGAATGAGGAGATGCACCAACAGAATGTAGAAGGGCCTTGAAAGGGACTCCCACTAACCAATTTGAGCATCAAAATTATAGTCAAAGGTTATAATCTGTTGAATAAAATAGGAAGCTATATGTCTATACTGGTAGAAATAATGAAGAAATAAATAAATGGGGAGAAAAGAAAATGTTCCTTACAATAGACTTTTTCCTTACAACAAATAATAATAATTTAGAAGGAATAAGGAAAAGGAAACTGGAAAATCCCCAATCTGGCAACCAGCCTAGTAAAAATTCATTCAGCCAAAAACTAAAACTAATGTGTCTTGCTCCCTCTACCCCACTTTCCTGTCTCATATTCTACTTTTTTAACTGATTTCTTTGTGTTTTCCCTCATATCTTGAATAACACGATATCCTAGTACTTACTGAGTTTTCTGTTTTAGATTTATTATCTACTGACTTCCCCATTACAGAAGGTGAAGATTTATCTCTCTCTCACGTACCACCATCACCACCCACACACTGATATGTTTTGTCCCCTACCCCCCAGTAAAATTATAGCATCATTTTGGTTATTTAGTCTTACAAAGGTTATTAAGTCACTAACACTGTGTAAGTGCTATTCACAAGTAAGTCATGTAGGGTACTATTTCTTTCTTGCAAAATTTGTTGCTTTCCTGAGCTTAATAATTATCCTTTTTGTTGCGTAATAATTATCCGTTTTGTTTTCCATAACTTGTTAATCCAGCCCTAAACTCTCTCCCAACTATGAAATCCTCACTCAGTTCAGTAAGGTTGTGGGTATTCTATTGCTCCAGGTTTGCATGGTTTTTATAGCATTAAGACACTGCAGAAGAACTGCTTTCCAGATCATTCTGACAAAAATCCTAAGGCAGATTCTGATAGGGCCAACTTGGGCCCGAACCACTTATTGGTAAGGGATAGAATACTCTGACTAGTCAGCCCAGACCCTACGGCTATGACTGACAGACAATGAGGTCACCTGCAAAGGTCAGATGAGCACTTTATAACTGGTCGAGTGTGGTGCAGATGTACGTAACACTTATCATCTGCCCATAGCAGATTAGAAACTGTTAGAAGGGAAGAGGGTCTGTGATAAGGAAGCTCTACCTTAACAGCAGAGAGAAATGGGAACCAATAACAGGGAAAGTAACAAGAAAAACTGTAAAAAATCTTATATAAAAACCTTGAAAGTCCAGCATTCTGAGAGACTTGGTGTACAAGTTATTTTACAACTTTATTATACCCCATTGTGACGAATTTGGAAAAATTCTACATGCATTAAAAAGTTAGTGCTTCCCTATGTGTTTAACTTGTCTATCCAGAATGAGCTGTTTTTTTCTCAAAGTCCCCAAACAGCTGGTGATTTAAAAGGGACTCTGTCCTAGTGGAAAGTTTATCTGATAGGGAAGATGGTATAGATTTATTACAAGACACTCTGTGATTCAAACTAAATTAGTAATTTATACGATTAGCTGTACATAACAATTAGGTTTTCAGTTCCACTCTCAAAGACAGAATATTGAATTGGGTGGGTCTGTTGCAGGAGGGCAGTACTCATGTTTTTATGTTAAGCTTGCTTGGCCAGAACTTGCTACCCTAAAAATATACTCGCTCTACCTACATTTAGGATGTAAACACATCTCTGTAGATCTGTGTTTAATCATTTGAGTTCTCTTTTGCAGTTTCCTCATTAGTAGGGCGCATGTTGGTGGAACTTGATCCTGGCAGCACAAGACACAAGCAGGTGCTTAACACATGGATTTTCATGCTGATAGTGCTTTGCACAGAAGAGGAAATGTTTCACGCATTGTCCCAGCTCATGGACAGCTCTGATGTTAGACCCACCTGTTGCTTCAGGAAATTCCAGGAGCTTCTGTTCGGAGAGTTCAGATCTCCTCCCCAGCTGATCTGTATTGCATCCCGTTGGGAATGTCACCAGATTTCATTCAGTGTGTGTGACCACGTCTTGCTCCGGATCATGACTATATTAGGAAGAAGAGAGAGAATGAGAAGGAAAAGAGAAAAATGGTTAACACATAGTTCATTTATGAACTTTCCAGATTTTGATTGCTCCTCCGATCCATTTCTTCTGCAAGGTAACCTGATTCTTAGTTTTACTTAGGTCCCTTATCATATTGGATCACTATTTTGTGTATACACCTCACTACTTCCTTAATGTTCTGTGCCATTTATATTCTTACTCATAAAAATGTATTCCTATTTCCTTAGACAGTTATTTACTAGGAAGCAAAATGTCAACACCCAGGGTATTCCTAATTGCAAAGATCAATCAGTATAGCTGCATAAGAAAAATGGAGTCTTTGTAGGAGTCGATCTCACTAGCGGGAGTTAGTTTGCACACAGAATTTATAAATTGGGAGGCAAATACCCAGACCTATCCCCACACTCGAGGGTCCTGCCACAACAGGAGAGGGAGGTTGGGAGAGGGAGTTGGGGATGCAGGGAGAAGGTATGTCAGTGGAAAAACGCAGACTGCGGTATAGATCAGGGCTGGTCATGAGAGACCAGAGGGGTAGAGCTCAGGGTGGAATTCAGCCATCCAGCTAGAGGAAATTAATTGTATTTGTTTATATTTCCATGGCAACCAATGTACCTTAGAAACAGGAAATAGGCCAGGTGGAGAAATGCAGACAAGTGCAAATCCCCAAATTACAGCAAACATCCTTAACTGGCCTTTAGAAAAGCTGGTTGCAGAGTTTCTTTCAATTAGTTTTGTAGAGATCACTTCTTTCTAGATTTAATATTTTAAATCCCCCCTCTTTTTCCTGTAATATATCCTTGTCTGGGGAAGTTAGAAGGAAGCAACTACAGAGCAACTTCATTCCCACCTAGCCGTGGAATTCTAGAAAATAGCTATGACTCAAAGTGGAGATGTCTAGAACACCCTTCTTTGTCTTTTTTATCTCCTTTTTGTAACAGGTCAGGACTCACCTCCTCTAAAACGTTTATTCAGACAAGAGAAAAATTGGTCATTGCCATGTTACTGCAGACATGTTCATATAAAATTCATCCTTATTAACTCAGAATTAAACCATAACCTCCTAACAGTGGTTTGTATATTTTCACTTGGCCTATGTTCCTTTCTGCAGCCATCCATCCTTCACACTGCTGTGGGAATTACCTTAAACTTTTTAATGTAACCCAGCCTGAATAAGGGACCAAACTCATTCAATGCATTTATGACCTTCCTCAGTCTAACTTTATATTCTCATGCCCCATTATATTCTTCAACCTTGTCCATCTAAAGCTTCAGCACAAAGACTCCACTTCCATGAGGCCTATGTTTAGTTGCTTATATGCATGTTTCCTTCATTAGACTGAAGTCCCATGAGGGCCACCTCCTGCATGACCCAATTTTTAAATCTATTGCTCTTCCATCTTTGCCCCGTACCTATCATTCACTCATTCAACAAATATTTATTGATTGTTTACTCTGTGTCAGGCAAAGAGTCCAAATGCATAATTTTCCTATTACAATAATTATGACAATAATTAAAGAGAATAATGGGTGATGTTTATTGAGCACTTACTAGGTATCACATGCTGTGAAGTGTTCTACATTTTTAAAACCTTTTTATTTTTAACTAATTATAGCCTCACAGAAACAATAGTACACCGAGTCCTATTTGCCACCCCACCCAGCTTCCGCTGATGGTGAGACATCTTATGTAATTGTCGTACAATCTGAAAGCCAGAAATTTGACACTGGAATGGCACTTTTAACTAGCCTACAGGACTTATTCAGTTTTTTCCATTTTTTTGTATACATTCATTTGTGTGTGTGCAGTTCTATGCAGTTTGAAACCATGCACAGATTCATGGAACCACTATCACAATCAAGACAAAGAAGTAATCGTCTATCACCACAACAGAACTCCATTCGCTGTATTGCTTTGTATTTGTAAGCAACACACACACACACACACACACACACACACACACACACACACACACACACCCTGTCCCCTAACAGCCACTAATCACTTCTCCATCTCTATAGTTTTGTCATTTTGAGAATGCCATAAATAGAATCATACAGTGATTGACTTCTTTCACATTTTACATTTAAATTTGCCACCCATTTTGAATTCACTTTTGTGTATGATGTGAGGTTTGGGTCCAGATCCTTTTTTTTTGCCCATGAATGTCCAGTTTCTCCAGCACCCTTTGTTGAAAAGGTTATTATTCCTTTGTGTGATTCAGCTGGGCATATTTGTGTGCATCTCTTCTGGGTTCCCGGCTTTCCCCACCGATCTACGTGTCTATCCTTGCTGTCCTGATTACCACAGCTCGACAGTGAGTCTGCAGCTACATCAGAAGCCTTCACATGAGACAGGGTGATTCCTCCCACCTCATTCTTCTTTTTCAAAATTGTTTTAGCTATTCCAGCTCTTTTGCCTTTTCATATAAATTTTAGAACAAGCTTGTCTGTATCTACCAAAAATCTTTCAGATCCTGCATTTTAACAATTTTGAAAGTTTTCTTCATCTCATTTATTTTGTTACGATTAACATTTGTTTTGTTACTTTTTCTCTGTATATCACGCAGATGGTCAAAAGATTTTAATTTTCCTGTTACTAAGAGACGGTATAAGCCTTCTTTTGGCATAGTGGTCACAAAGTGTCCTATACATTATCTTTACATATGTTTGTTAAACTTCACAGTAACCCTAAGAGGAAGATATTAGTAGTATCTCCATCTTACAGATGAGGAAATGGGTAGATTAAGTAATCTGCCCAACATCTCATAGCTATTAAGTAGTGGAGCTAAGATTTGAATTTAAGCAGCCTAATTCTAGAATACACACTGTTATCCTCTGTACTATGCTGCCTTTCTTTGAAAATAATTACTGCATTCAAGAAATATTTATTAAGAACTTCCTATTTCCGGAGACTGTTGCAGGTGCTGGGGCTCCGGCAGCCATGGACGAACTAAAATCAAGCCATGGTAAAACAGGAGCCCTGCTCTCATCTTCTAAAGGGGCTGGGGGAGAGGTCATGGAATTAATGTCATGATTGTTGTATTGTTCAAGTATTATTTTATTACTGGGTTTATATTAGGGGCATAGCCACTCTTCAATAGAGGGGCTGGGATCTCACTCCAAAAATGTGCCTGTTCACTGAATCCCTCACTGTAGTCCCACCAATCTTGTGGAGTCTAGAAAATCCCTTGCTTGGAAGACAGGAACTGGGAGACCCAGGGAGATGGTGAGCTAAGCCACCACGGGGACAAAGCTGTCCAGACATTAGCTCTTGTGTGGCGTAAAATAAGACCATACCTACTCCCTAGACGTGTGCAAGGGCCAGGGAGCAAAGAGCACACGCAAATTGCCTGGGCATTTGTCCCGTCTGAGAATGGACTGCAGGTCTTCAAACCAAGCTCATGAGTGAGTGAGCTAGGGAACAATCAGGAAGTCAGACCATTCTGCATTATTTTCTGAAAAACATTTTATCGACATGTATTATACATATAGAAAAGTGCACACGTCATAAGTGTACACCTCATTGAATTTTCACTCATGTCAGCAGCACCCAAATCAAAGAAACAGAACATTACTACCTTCCTCCCTGGAGTCCCTGTTCCCTTTTAGTCACCAGCCCCAGTGACAATCACGAACCGAACTTCAAACACCACAGATTAGTTTTACCTGTTTTGGGACTTTGATAAGTGGAACCCGACAACACACCCCTTTTTGTGTCTGGTTTCTCTCATTCAGTATTTTGTTGGTGAGAGTCCTCCATTTACTGCATTTGGTTACAGTTTGCTCATTGTTGTCCTGGGTGGTATTCCACTGTGTGAAGGTACCCTTATTTGTCCATTTTACTGCACATGGACATCTAGGTTGTCTCTAATATCTGGCTATTATAAATAGTACTGCCATTAACATTCTAATTTTAGTGAACAAATTTGTACATTAAAAATGCACATTGGGTACATTCCTAGGAGTGAAATTGTTGAGCCATCAAATCTATATATAATTACAATCAGCTTTAGTAGACGCTGCCCAGCAATTTTGCAAAGTCACAACACTGTTTCACACTGCCTTCAAGGATGTCCTTTTATCCTCCCTTGTTATTTAGTAAAATACTTTTTTGAGGACCCCAACCCATTTCATCTATAAACAAAACTTTAAAAATCCATGCTTGGCCTAGGTGGTTAGCAAGGGAACAAGAAGAGACATAGGAAAACTACGGGAAGAAGAAGCTAGGGGAGATGGAGACCCCTTCGGTCAGCCAGTTCTTCCTGTCTAGATAGTCTCTTTCAAGAGTTTACTTTGGAGGTTCTGGTTTTGTTTAATAAAACACAACATTCCCTTACAGACCTTAACTGAATTGTTTCCCAAGGACTATTAATTGAATTGTCTCATTATTTCCTTAGGTTAAAAAATTGAACTGCAAGCTTAAGTAGAAAGAGATCTTCTATGTTTTTCAACATTGTAGCTTCAAACATAATCAATAAATGTTAGGATGAATGACCAAATAAACTAATGAATGAGTTTCCTAAAACTTCACAACTATGTATGGCGGCCTGATGTCGCATGCTTGGCTCATCAGGCAATTATTAGTCCTGTGCTCAAAATGAACGATCCAGACCCTTCTCTTGAGTCTATCCCAAATACCATGAGATTGTTTCTGAGCTCTCGTGGGATTACGCACACAGGTAGCATCAGTCATCTGGACAGCTACACTCCGTCAGGTGGCACGCCTGAAACTGCCTTCGTAGAGATCGTGGTCAACAAGCCTCCAGAAAGGACATAAAAGAATACGTACACACAGAATAATGCAGCTGTCGCTTAGCAGGTCACGAGTAGGAACAAGGGGCCTATTTACGTAGCATATCACACATAATCCTCTCAAAAGCCCTGTGAGGCATGTTATTTTAGTCTTCATTTTATAAATTCAGGGAAGCAAGTGAATTGCCCAAGATCACTTCTAGTAAGTGATAAAGCCTAGATTTATCTCGGTCTGTCTAAATCAAGATCCCGAGATGTTAACAACTATGTTTGCATAAATAATTTAAGCATGAAAATTTCCCTGGCTTGCAAGTGCATGTGGTGCTTTGCATCTGATGTCAGTTAAGTGGGATGCATTCGGTGCCTCCCATGTACCGAAGACATGCGTAACGTAAGGTAATTTTAAATTAATTTACTTTCTCTCAACACTCCTCCAGCCTCCCTGGTTAGGAGGAAGCCGGGCCTTGAATGAAAAGATCTCTTCTGGTCATCATATCAGAGATGAACGGGAGCCTGAGTGAGCAAGTCTTGGTTAGGGTGAAATAGGGGAGATGCAGGGGAGCCTGAGGGAGGGGAGGAAGATGACTTAGCAGAAAAAAGGCAGGAAAGGTACTTCAAGAAAGAAGCCTGACATTTTTTCCCCATCAGAGCTTCCTTTGCATAGTTTTTGCGACAGCTGTTCACTTCTTGAAGGCCAAAGAAAGCAGAATAGCCTTGAGGGTCACTGGCAGCGCCTTGCTCTGCTGGACTCAGAGAACATAAACACTGAGTTACAGATGACGTGGCTGGCCACCTCCACCACGAGTCTGCCCTCTGGATCTGGGTGATGCCAGCTCCTTGGCAACACCACAGGCTGCGGTGACCCTGGGCTGGGAGGGGGAAGGGGCAGAGCACCAGCGCGTGACGTGGCACCACCGCGGTAAGAAGCAAAGCAGCGGGAAGAGGCCCCCTGTCCTGCAATTGTGCAGCAGGCCACGGGACTGCAGCGATCCTGGGGAGAGGGCAGAGAGGCAGAGAGGGAGGAGGTCACCTTTGCATGGTTCTTGCCAGGAAGAAATTGCTGTAAAATCATGCTTCCTGGCTGGGATCCCAGCAGAGCTAATGCTTGGAGCTGTCCAGTCTCCCGGACAGTTTCAATTCTTTGTCATATGCAGCTCATGTTATCATGTCGGGTTTTCTTCTGCCCCTCAGTTTCAGATGGCCCCCTGTGGCCCTGCTCATGATTCAGACTGAAATAGATGCCTGCTTTGCATGCCAGTTCAAGCTACATTTCAGTTCTTGTTTCTTTGAAAAGGTCCTGCCAGGGAAGCAGTATGAAATGTCAGGTTCCGGTCTGGTATTCCCCCCCTTACCTTCAACCTGTAGTGTGACTTTTGTGGGATTCCCACTCCTGCCCAGAATCCCTGCATGTTAATGGGCTTGTCTAATTCAGAAATAACTGGATGATGTGATGATGTCATGGCCCTTTGAGATCATAATTTTTCAGCTTACATCACCTTCCATGATTAGCTGGAATCCATACGAGTTAGCGCATCCTGTTCATTATTAGGACATGCCTATTACAAAGTTATCAAAGAAATATCCATTTCTTCTACAAAGTAATCAAAAAAGCCTGCCCAGATTTTTACAATGGTCTGTTCGAGAGACTCACACCTGGCAGGAGTGGCAGGTGGCTGGTCCTTATTGGCATCTAACCCATACCTGTCCTGTGACACTTGGAGGTGAACTGTTCTTTTCCTGTGTTGTATATAAATAGAGAATGGCTTTGTGTCACTTTTGCAGGGCTCTCTATCCCCTCAACTTGAAGTCTTTTCTGAATACAATACCACTTAACCTTTATCACAGTCCTGAGGAGCTTAAGTTCAAAGTTATATGTAGGACATTGGACACTTAAACTTGGAGATTTTTAAGTATGGAAATTCTCAAGACCTCAGCGCTTTGCCCAGAGCTACATTTGTCAACTTTCTGCCTATTGGAGCTGGTCAGAGAGGGCTAGTGTGCCTTGCAGAAATGGATACTTTTACTCTGACCCCATTTTTCCATCCCTTCACTTCCTCATAAAGAGCCCCTTTCCAGAGGGGATTTAATATTTCCAGATTCTTTAATATCCTCTTCATTCAGAAAGCCTCTTCCTGTATGTTCCGAGCAAATGACCCAGATGTATTATGAGCTGGTTATGACAGGAAAGCTAGGATCCAGAGTAATAGTCAGAATTGTTCAGGGACCTCACTAAAAAATAAATGAACTTGAACAGCTCACAAAAGAGGAAATATCTAGGACTAAAAGACACGTGGGAAAATGTTCAACTTCACTAATAACAAAAGAAATGCAAATTTCAAAAAACAGGTACCATTTTTCATCTATCAAACCTGCAGAAGTTAAAAAAAGAAAGAAGAAAAAAAAAACTCTCCAGGGCTGGCAAGCACACAGCTCAGTGGCTATTCTTACGTCCTGTGAGTGGTCGTATAAAATGATACCACTTTTCGAGAAAGGACCTAGTGATGTGTATCAATTGTATTTCTGTTAAATTATCCTAAGAAACTGATCCAAAATATATTCCAAAATTTACTCACAAAGATGCAGTGTTATTTATAAGACTGAAAAAAATGGACACAACTCAGGTGTCAAAAAATAAGAGACTGGTTAAATAAATTTCAGCATATTCCCGCAGCAGAACATTAATGCAACCATTCAAAGAGGTGTTTTGCAGTTTCTAGTAACAGCTAAAAATACCTTCATTTCAATGTTAAGTAAAATGAGCAAAGTACAAAACTGTACGTATAGTACCATCTCAGGTGTGTTAAAACATAAAACCTTGAAACGAAACAAGGAAGAACTAAAATACATTAATTTATAGTGATTGTCTCAGGGTGTTGGAATCATTGGTAATTTTCTTCTTCTCTTTTCCTTCTAATTTTCTCTAAATATTGTCTTTATAATAATAACTTTGTTGAAAAAATAATAAGTGTCTATAATAATCAAAACCATAAAGTACTGGCATCAGAATAGATGCATTGATGACACAGATTGGTAACCTGTTGCCTTGAAGGTCAGCTGATTTTCAACAAGGGTGTTAAGACAATTCATTGGGGAAGGAATAGCCTTTTCCATAAATGGTGCTGGGACACCTAGATAGCCACATGCAAAATAATGAAGTTGGACTGCTTCCTTACACAGGCACAAACATTGACTAAACTGGATTATAGACCTAAATGTAAAAGAGGGAACTATAAAATTCTTACACAAAAACATAGGAGTAAATCTTTATGACCTTAAGTTAGACAAAGCCTTCTAAAAGATGACACCCAGAGCAGAGCACAAACAACAAAAAAATAGAGAGATTGGACTTCATCAAAATGAAACATTTTTGTGCTTCAAAGGACGTGACCAAGAACGTGAAAACACAAACCACACAAGGTGGAAAAATAGTTGCAAATCATGGATCTGTTAAGGGATTTGTACCCAGAATATATAAAGAATTTTTACAGCTCAACAAAAAACAAAGATAAATAATCCAGTTGAAAATAGGCAAAGATTTGAAGAGATATTTCTCCAAAGAAGATAAACAAATGTCTAATAAGCATTTTTTACTCATTTCCTATTGCTGCCATAACTAAATGACCACAAATTTAGTGGTTTAAAATAATACAAATATAATATCTTACAGTTCTAGTGGTCAGAAGTCCAACATGGGAAGAAATGGAGAGTGACTGCTAATGGGGTATAGGGTTTCTTTTTGGGATGATGAAAATGTTCTGGAATTAGTAATGATGGTTGCACAATTTTATAAATATGCTAAAAATCATTGATTTGTGTGTACACTTTAAGTGGATGTATGCATATATGTAAGTTGTTAAAATTCAATAAGTGGGTCCTAAGTAGGGCCCCATATCAGTTTAAGAAAAAATCCAACTAAAAATGTATCAGCTTATTTAAGTGAAAAGTACAGTGGGAATAAAGACTTCAAATGTAGTTTAATCAGAGCCTCCCCTCCCCAGGAGCTGGAGCTCCAATGACATGGGCTGCTATGTAAGTGGGGGGAGGTGGGGTGCACGTTGTCTCATGACCACGTTGTTGTCCTAAGAGCAGAGGAAAGACAGTGGAAGAAGAGCAGGCTGAAAGATGCGCATTACAGGATGTGTGCACCGCCTCAGGAGCAGTCCTAGGGAGGCTGAAGCGAGGGAGGGAGACACCCCCTGGACTAGGGCTTGAGAAAATCAGCTAAGGACAGTAATAAAGACACTTTCAAAGTGATTAAGGTTGACTGCTAATGAGTATGAGATTTCTTTAGGGGGAAACGAAAATGTTCTAATATCAGATTGTTGTGATGGCTGTGCAACCCTGCAAGTATACTAAAAAACGCAAAACTATACACTTTAAATAGGTGGACGCTTTAAATGGTATGTGAACTGTATTTTAATAAAGCTGCTTTTTATAAAAATGGTTAGAGCAAGAGGATAATTACTAACCTAGCACTTGGGCATATGGCGCCGGATTTACAAGTGACAGAGAACATGCGGGACATGCCTCTCAAGTGCAGTGGTCCACTAAGGAGCATGGAGCTAACTGTGAATTGAAGTCCAGTATGTGGGGAAGATCGTAAGTGAGGTTCTGCATATTTTAAAGGAATCCAAGGTTTTAAGGCTCAGGTAAGTGATCTTCTAGGGCACTGAAAGAATATGTAGGCATAGTCCTTATTTACCCTATCATCTGTGAACAATTATGGAGAATTGGGAGAGGGAAGAGAAATTTTGGAAATGGGTACACAAATAGACTTATCATAAGGGGCGTGGGTAGGGTAAAAGGGAGTGGTCTTCCCAGAACCCTTTATAAAATCAGACCCATTTCTTTTGTTGCCCTTGTCTAGCTTGGATTAATACTTAGTCTACAGGCACAGACCTGATCATCTACATTTGCCCTCTTACAGCACTAAATTATGTTTTCTACCTTTATCTTGCATCTACCTACCACTTCAGCATTTTATTAAAATAATAATAATAATAAGGGAGAAATGTGGGATTCACATATAAATCAAGTATAAAAATCAAATGAATAATCATATCTGACTTGATTGTTTATAGTTCATGATGCATGATCAAAACCGAAAATTTCTGTGATATGACTGCCCTTGCACTGCTCACCATGTAAGAACTTGTTCACCGTGTAAGAACTTGTTCGTTATGCTTCAGAAGATTGGAGACTGTTGAGAATTAGGCTTGGGGTTGATTAATGATTGTGCATTGAGTCCCCTATACAGAATTTTATTGTTGTTAACAACCATTTGATCAATAAATATGAGAGA